CTCTGCAGCTGGTTCACATACTAAATTTTCAGGTTAAAATTTCACTTTTGAAATTCAAGCCAAAATGTGTATATGTATAGCCCTATACAACCAACAACTCAGAGTAACCTGCACTATGGTGACTTAACTGGTGAGGGGAACTGTGGCCTTAGTGGTTAATGCATGGTTCTGGGGACAGGAGAATCTGTGTTTTGTCCTCTCCTGCCCTACACCCCACACTTAGTGTATGATGGTTTTCAAGCCATTTTAGCCTTTTCATGTATCAGTTTCCCTATCTATAAAACTGGAATAGCAACTCCTCTTTCTTTGTATTTAATGACTGTAAAGTATTTGGAGGGCCTGAAATATGAACAGAAATAAAAACAAGGCCAAAATTAAAATACATAAATGATGTATTGAAGTGCTATTTTTCCTAAGCTGTAACAGTCAAAAATGCTTAGATCTGGATGAGTCCAGATATTTTTGAGAGTTCCCTGATGATTTCAGCTGGGGGTCCTGCTGAACATTTTCCTCCACTCCCAGCTTGCAATGACATGATAATTGAGAATTTAGAAACCCAAAGCAATTTTCTGCCCCGATGCTGCACCACGCTGCTGTCAGCAAGCCAACTTACTTTGGACGGCTGGAAGATGTCGTTTCTTAATGCCAGTTTTTGGAAGGCAGAGCTGATGATGCACATTTATGGCACAGGCTGCTGCTGCTGAAGCCAGGACCTGGGTGAGTTTCTCTGAAATGAGAATGTTTTCTGGCACTCCGGGAGGCACTGCAGCAATTTTAGATGCAAGCAGACAGCATTTGCTGAAGCTGCTGTCAGAGATGAGGAGCAGCACTAGTTTTCTACTTGGATGAATAACTCCTTGTAACTTTGACAAGTAACAAGGAAGGCAGAGTGAGATATAGGAGGCTATCTTGCAAGTGATACAGAATCAGGAAGGTCCGCTCCCTTTCTGCAGGTTTCTCAGCCACTCTTACAGTGTTGTGAAGAGCAGTGGCAAGCAATGTGCATTCAGAGCAGGACCAGTGTGACTGAAAAACATGGCTGTAATGCAGGACATTGTTGCCCCAGCAAAATAGATGCAAAAGCCGAGAGCTGAAGAAGCACTACTGGAATGTGTGCGTCTTCTCAGCCAGCGAGGGTCTTCATAGCTATGTGGTGCTAAGCAGCAAGCCCTCTTCTTAAAACCTAACTTACTCCAGGAAAGTCTGTCTCAGCTAAACTAATTAAGGAGGTTTTAAAAAACAGAAGTCTGTACTTTTTTTTTTTTTTTTTTGGTACCAGAAAGGGAAAAGACAGTAAAAAGTTGAGGAGACCAACTTAGTGTTATTGCCAGTATGAATTACCAAAAATCTTTATGGTTTTTAGGTGACACTAAACATGAAAATTACTTCCTACACTTACTGCTATATGATCCTGGGCTGATGAAGCTTGAAACCTATATGCAAAACCAAAGCAGAAAAATCTTGATGTGTTGCTGTGTCTTCCTTTTATGGAAAACATTAGTATTTTGAATGGATAATAGGAGACAGCTGAACAGGTTTAAACCTCTGACTTTGCAAGAATGAATCACGTCAGACATAGAATCATAGAATCATTAAGGTTGGAAAAGACCTCAAGGAAGCTGCAATTGTTCAAAAATACGGTGCTTGGAATAACTGGTTTCTAACTCCATTGTATAGATGAGCCAACATTTCTTATTTAAGGGGGAAAAAAAGGATTAATCAGTTTTAAGACTTGACAGCTATGAACATCATTATACTATTCAGCATATTCCAGGCAAGAAATGTCACCCATCCGTTAGCATTATTGTTGAAGGACATGCTTGTTTGAAAGACCTACAGGCACTACAGAACTTTCACAGTCCTTAGTGAATAGTCAATTGTCCCTGTTTTAAAATGTTCAGACCATGCTGACATTTTATTTTGAGTTTTGCTTGCTTCACATTCCAATCACTTCATCTGGCTAAGCTTGTATTTGCAGGCTAGACCTTATGGAAGTAATGACTTAACTCTCTTTTGACAAACTTTGAGAGATTTAGTTAGTCCCAAATTCAGGAATTTATTCCTCTTCAGGGAGATGCTAAAGTGTAAGCTTAACTTAAAATTTAATTTGAAATCAGTGCGGTCATTTATTAATAATGGAATTTGAAGTATTCCCTTGCTCAGGATGTTTTAACCTTGTGCATTTTCTAGAACCTGCAAATGTTTTTCAGAGCTCTTGTTGGACCTACCTTAATATCCACAGGAAAATTCGTGCTATCTGATCAACACTGTTAGCTACTCTTTCTAGAGTCCACCTCTCCTCCTAACAAACAACTGCACTACCAGTGTCTTGCAAATTACTGGACCATCACAGATGCTAATGAACTGCTGGCATCTCCAAAGGGCACCCACTTCACCTCTACCCACAGCGGGCCACTTCAAGAACTCTTTAGGATGCAATGTTTGCAGAGAACATCCTCATCCCAGCCTTGTGGTCCAGCAGAGCAAGAAAGGAATAGTCCTCAGGTGAGGACTTAAGGCGCCTGGCGCACAGCTCATGCTGCATTTTTGCCTGTTGTATTCAAACTTTTCCATCTGCTCATTTGCATTGTGCAGTAGTTTTTCCGGGGTTGCTGTATGTTTGGCTTTGTAGGGTTGCTGACTGTTTGGCTTGCTGAAGGTACCATGTCTGATCAGTTTAATTTGTTTAACTAGAAGATTTTAAGGAAAAATATGAGTAACTGAGGATATTAAAAACACCACCAACAATTTACTGATATTATATTTATGGAAATTTGCACAATTTTTTCTGCCTCATCAATTCCAGAACTTGACTAGCTAACCTGAAGAATTCTTTTGCATATAAAAGGAAGTTCTTGGTTTCATTTACTTTTCCCCCCCAGCTTTCTTTGTAGAGATTATCCTGAGAACACTTTGAAAGTATATCTTATAAATATGAAGAAGGACTGTTTGCATAATCTAGTATCAGTTCTGAGTTTAATGCAAATTCAGATCAAAGGAAGCAACACTGAAAGTGCTGCAAACGTCTATTACAAATATTTTGGTCCAAAAATGAACCACTATTTCAAAGCATAAGTTTATTATGAAAATGCACTCGTAATTCCAAGAATCTTAGTATTTCATGCTCTGATCACAAGTAATGGTGATTAGGAAGGCGATGCCTTTTCAAGTACTAGAGAGGAAATAAATGCTATATAACTTAATCATAACCGAAAAGTACATAAAATGGGAAAAGATGCAAACAAATGAGATTACAATGACCAAAGAACTGAATGAAGTGACATTCTATGGTTTAGCTACCACGTTTTCAAATTTTCACATCAATGACTTGCTACGATATGTAAGCGTCCTTACATGTAGTAATTGTTGGTGCAAGGCTTGTTCATCTAACAAAACAGAAGCAGCAATTACCAGCAGCTGGCAAATAAGGCCAGGGGAAATACAAACCCAAAATAAGGGATACCTTCCTCTTCAAGGAAGGTTGGTTGGCAGCTGGACCAAACTACTGAGGGAGCTGGAGCATCCTCATCCTTCCATAAGGAAGATATACACTAAACACAAGTGACTGATCTCAGGGCAGCGGTAACTGGATAAAATTCAGTGGACTACAGAAGCAAAGTAAATAACTGTTTCCTACCAATGGGTTAGAGTCGTCGCATTGAAAAAGACAATTAGGAAATTATGCACAAAGAGGTTAATCAAGAAATCTATAGGAAATACTGGAAATTATTTTGGATGGCTTAAATGAGGCTGGTCTGTAACAGTAGAAATTCAGCTCTTTTCAGATCTGTTCAGGTGACACTCTGCAACTATTTTCTTCTTTCACAATGAGCTATAACCCTCCTCTGTGAACCTCCCTATGCACAAATGCATCGCTATAAGTATTTAGGTATAACATTGCTATGTCATCTATATCTTTATAATAAAGACAGTTGAGAACATTTTTTACATCAGATGAGGAGTCATCAGCATGAAATATTTTACTGTCATTTCTGGTTTTAAAGTCTATGACTACAACTAAAGTATTTAATTAGTCACAGAAAATGCCAAGACCATGAGACAAAAACATTACCTAAGAGAAAAGATATTGGTAAATATCATGGTACCTAACCATGTACCTAGTTTGGATGTTACAGTTTTTTCTCTTTTTTGCTTCTTGTCTTCAAAACCAAACAAATCATTACTGTGAGTTTTGAAAGAGAAAAAAAAAAAGGTCCATTAAGTGGAAAAGTGACAGATAAGCTTTGAAAGGAAAAATATCACCTGCCCTAGTAAGTAATTTCTAGAATATCCTGTAATTTTACTAGCCTAAATAAATATCACATGACATGGAGAAAAAGTGAACTTGTATCGAAAGTCCCAGTCAAGACATCGGATAATGAAAGAAAGCCCACAGGTACGCTTTCTGGGTCTGCCACAGCAAGACGGGATGTGTCTGAAGAAGCAGTTGTGTGTCTGGGGCAGACTTCTCCATCTGAGCTACTCATACCAGCCTGCCATTAAAGTAATTGGAGAGGAACAGACACTTGAGGGACATGAGTCATGCAGATGCTGTACTGTGAGCCACTAAGGCTGCGTGAGACACAGGACTGAGAACTAGAAAATACTGCATTGTGGCAAGATACATGAAATAGCCCAGCAAAATGTCATATTGTTGCCTTTTATTAGCTAAAAATAACTGCTTTCAAATGCTGATGATTTGTTTTGGTAGGAATTACAACGTGAAAATCCTAACAGCATCCTCTGTAAAAACATATATATTTTTAAAAAGAAGATAATCTCATAACCACCATATTTTACCTGACAGGTTTATGATGGAAATCAAAATCACTTGTATCATGTTTGGAAACTGTTATTTATAACATCATGAATAACTTGTTCAACTGTGATAGTTCCAAAAACTTCAGTACATTAAGATGTGTTTGCTCCACTGAGTCCCTCGCTCTCTTTGGCAAAGTAAAAAAGATTTTGCATTTTAAAATATTTTAGAAAAGTACTGTTCAGTCTTCCATTTCTACATGCAGTCCCCATTGTTCCTTGAATTGCAGGAGATACATTTCTTGGTCCTCTGATGATTCATTGGACACCTCTTTCTCATACAGTCTGGAAAAAATTCCCTCTTTGTCAGGATCATTGCACTTGAACACTCCTTCACACACCTGATTTTCAACACTGGACAAGGTAGGAATATACAGTCTTCTAGTGTGAGGATCCCAATCTACTAATATGGTCTGTTCACTCTCTTTCTCTGTGAGGCCCTGTGTGATTCTTTCCAGCTGAGGATAGGATGTTTGCCAAGATTTTTCAGTATCAAAGTCCACCAAGTTGATATGGGTCTCACCTGGCAATTCATCTGCTGCATCAACTGTCTTCAAACTAAGTTCCTCTATCTTCTGTCCCAAACAAGGGTCTGCTGCCCTCACCTCTAGCTGGGGGCAATATGACTGTCCTGATTTCATACTAATCAAGTCCCCCAGAGCAATCTGTGGCTCATCTAGTAGTCTGCCGGGGGCAGAGGTCTTCTCTTGCAAACTGAGGTCTTGTAGTTTCTGACCAGGACTGAAATCTTCAGCCCTTACATCGTGTTCATACTCTATAGTCCCTGCATTTTTCTGTCTCAAAGCATTCTTGGTTACAGGCTGGCCATAAGATGGCCGGTTCCTAGTTTGGTCCCCCCCTGCTAAAATATCCTCTTCGTATGAAACATCAAGCAAGTGTTTTGTTTCCAGCACTTCTTTTGAAGGCAAATCCTTCCCTTCAGTGCCACTGTAAACAGTGTAATAATGGGGACGTTTCCTTTCTGATATATGGCTGGATTCCTGAGATGGCTTGTACTCATCCATGCTAACAGTCACGAGGTTGATCACTATTTTTTCACATGGTATAAAAACCCTTTCCTTGCATTTGTCAGTGTAGTGCCATATCTGAAAAGTAAAAAATATTTTTATTTGAATGAAATATAACAAAAATACCATCTTGCTGCTTCTTATACAGTCATATATTTTTAAAATATAAGGCTAGGCTATTAGGAGGTTATTTCAATTTAGGAAAGAAGGAATGTCATCATATAAACCTCCAGATGTGTTAATATGCTTCACTTTTTTTATTCTATCCCAAGTAAAACTATATTATGACCAGCGGTAATATTCATTTTCTCATCTTCCCCAAGCCAAAATAATGGTTAGAATAATTGTGTCATATTCTGGTTTTGTTTCCACCAGCACAAACTCAAGTGACTTTGGAGAAAACATCGAAGTTGTCCTTGGCTCACAGATTACAAAATCTATTCCAGTCTTTTAACCTGTGAAGAGGAAGTGCAGTCAAAACCACATCCCTGAAGCACAGAGCCAGGTACCACGGTAAGGAATAGCTCACAGAGAATTCAATACTACCAAGTTTCCTTTCAGAGGGGAAGCTATACAGGAGGCTGCAGTGCAGTGTATGGAGCCCACGTTGTGCAGTCTGTCACAGGCTGCTTTTGTGACTCTGTGACAAATCATCCAGTTAAACAATAGGGATCTTTCTGAAACGAGGAATATTTCTAACAGGAATAAATACTGCATGAGCAGTCACTAAAGGAAAGTGCAATAGAAAAACAACAACCAAAAGCTGCACTTCAGTGCTTTCAAGCTTGAATGGAAGATTAAGACCACTAATTGATGTACCAGGCAATCTGAAAGCTCCCCCAGGTCAGAAGTGCTGGACCAAAAAAAACTACTTATTCCACCTCCCCCGACCATTGGGAAAGCCAGAGACCATCACTAAAATACCAGGTCTATATTCATTTGTTACCTTAACATCAACTGAATCCAGAAGTGGAGAAATAAAATTGAAGCTTCAAGGTGGTCATAAAAAAGTGCAACAGATATTTAAAAAAAAATCCCAGCATACAAATTATACATTTATTAAAGAAAAAAATCCTGGAGTTGGAGTTTAGTCTGCTATCGAGTGGGAATTTTTCTCTAGCCCTTTACATTCTTGGACTGTAAGAAGCTCTGTCCCACTAGGTCCCCAAGGAAGACCAACCTATCTCCCCCTGACATGCCCTACATCCCAGGATAAAGAATAAGAAAGACAGAGAAAGACTTTTTACCAGGGCCTGTAGTAACAACAGGCAATTGTTTTAAGCTGAAAGAGGGTAGATTTAGATTGGATATAAGGAAAAAATTATTTACTATGAGGGTGGTGAGGCACTAGAACAGGTTGCCCAGAGAAGCTGTGGATACCCCATCATTGCAAGTGTTCAAAGTCAGGTTGGCTGGGGCTTTGAGCAACCTGATCTGGCGACAGATGTCCTTGCCCGTGGCAGGAGGGTTGAACTAGATGAAGTTCAACTGAAGTTTGAAGGTCCCTTCCAGCCCAAACTACTCTGTGATTCCACAATTCTGTGATAAAGCTGGTGTCTCGTCAGGTGCTGGAGGTGTCTCAGTGTACATCTGGGCACACTGCAGCATCAGCTGCTCTACTCCTGAAAATCTAGTCCCTCTGTGAACAGTTCTCCTATCACCTCTCTGCTGCTCTGGATTTGTTCAGAAAAATCAGCATGTTGAAACCAACTCCCTCATACCTCCCATCCCACAGTGTCACGTAGATTGGATTGACATCAAAGTGTTCATTCATTTCAATTCAATATGTTGTAATTGCATATTTATTCTTCAGCAACGTGTTTAGAGATAACTGTGAGAAAGCTCTGCTGGGCTCATGAGCTGGAAACCAATAGTGTTTCTTAGACTTTGTGTTCTTTCTAAAAATTAACAAACTTTGCAGCTCTAAGAAACTTGCAAACATTTTTACATAGAAAGTGTATTTGGATTGTGTAAATAACAGAATGTGCTTGTTGGTAGATTTTTGGATGTTAGGAAATGGTACAGTATTTGAAAGACATCCAGATTAAATTATCTGCATGATGCACGGGTGCTGAATCCTTCACAAGCACAATTAAATGGTAAAATGTGGTAATACCCAGTAATAGTCCAAGAAAATATCATGGGGTCTCTGCACTGCTTAATTCTCTTGTTTCTGATTTAAACTAATTAATAACTTCTGTTCACTGAATCTCTACTGTGCTTCTTCCTAGATCCGTTTAGGGAGTGCTGACTTCCTAAAAGAACTTGCCTCAGTGCACCTCAGACCTTCCTTATGGCAACGTCTCTTCCCAAACCAACAGCTCCAGTCTGATCCTCATCAGCTCTGGTCACCTTTTCAGATCTGGGCATCTTTTTAGACACTGTTGCTTACCTGACTTATTACTCTGTTTTTCTTGCATTTAATAACCCTCAATGTGATGTTCTTTTCTTGATCTGAGTGGCAACTCCAGCTTTTATTTGCAGCTGGTGTCCTCCCAGCTGACTCAGAGCCCTGGAAAATGCACAGCTCTCCTGTGAGTGCCAAGGTTGGCAGCGACCTCCTGCAACAGAGAAGACTTACCAGGTTTGTTGGATGTTTCTGTTTGCTGACGTGAATATACTTGTGCACACAATAGCATGTCATTGAAATAAAAAGGACAGCAAGCATGATAGGCAGAACATATCCAAATACGATTGTTATAGCCTCATCTGTAGTTTTATCTGTTAACAAAACAAAAGTTTTCATTGTACTGAGCAACTTTTTTAATGTATTCAGATAGTAATGTGCATTCACCACATTGCTATTCAGATGGGGGATAAAAATGTCTTAGATCAAGAAGGAATTTGCAGGAAATTTTTAAAAAATGACATTTGAGCTACAGAACAAATTTTTATCATTATCTAAGTTATAAATTAAATTATGAAAATAAGTAACAATCCCTCCCTCAGGTTTTCCTGTTGCTAACTTCTGTCCCCTGAGACTGACCCAGCTCTGCCACTCCCAGACCTCATTCAAGGAGAAAAAATATTCTCCATTCACTAAGACTCAAAAAATGCAGATCCTTTTCTTCAGAGGCACTGTCGTTAACCTTCCAGTCAGTAGACCCCAGCTATGTTTTATTAAAGGCAAAGATTTTTTTCATCTGTACAAACATACAGAGAGGGCAGAAACAATGCTAGCTTTTCACTCTCAGAATGGATACAGAAAAAAACTTACAAACTCAATCACTGTGTTTTTTTTTTCTAACTTGCATCTTCTTTTTATAATTTGCCAGCTTACACATACCTTTCAAAGTAGCAATGCAATATTCTTTAGAAAATCCACTGTGCAAACGTGGTGTGGTGACATATATCTGTGCACTGATGCAATAAACTGTTCCAGGTTCTAACCAGGGCACAACCAAGGTGTTGTTGCTGATGGAGAAGAACCACTGGAAGGCATAAAAAATAAATTTTTTCCCCCTTTAACCCTTTAGGTAAAGATCTTATATACAAAATGGGTCACAAGCACACAATTTTTCTGGAAAGAATAATGATACTGTTAGAACTGCCAGCTGCATTCTTTTTTTCCAAATACAATTAGGTCATGTCCTCTCTGAGTATTTTATCTTCCATCCAATCATTCTTTTACCACTACTGAACAATTTAATGTTTTATATGAAGTAGGACCATATACTACCACTAGCCACGTTCTCATGCTGATGTGGCAATAGAGCTGAAGCATCACTCCAGCCCTGTCCTGACACCTAGGCCAATAAAAAGCACAAGGTGGAGCTTCACAAAACCTTTCGAACTGGGGTATTCTGGTAAAGACAGGAGCCTTAGAATAATGGGTGTTGTGTAGACTTTGGAATACAAGGTAAAGTAATTGCTCTATGTCAAGCATCTTTATTAAAACAAAAGAAAACAAAAACCAGAACAAGTTTTCTATACCTCTAGTTGCTAATCTTGGCATTTTAATATTCCCTTTGACAAAATGTAATCTTTTTGTTGTAGAGTTTCTGTCTTTTTTCAGTAAATTCAGAGACTTGCCAGACAGAGATTGTGTCTGGAGGACAGGAATAGAAGAATGAATGTTTTTGTAATTGATCACTGAACTCTTCCTTATCTACTGTGTTTACGCTGGGAACTACTATGTGACAATGACATGTAAATCATGGTGAATGGTGGGAGGATGAGAGACAATGGACACAAGATTGTAAATAAATACATGTTTTTTCCCTAAGAAGAAAGTCAAGGAGTGGAACAGGTTGTACAGGCTCTGTCCTTGGAGGTTTTGAGGATGCAACTCAACAAACCCTGAGTGACCCGGTCTGAGCTCACAGCTGATCCTGCTTTGAACAGGACTTTGGACTAGAGACCTCCTGAGCTCCTTTCCAACTTGAATGATCCTACAATTCCTCCAATGCTATGAATCCTATTTCCATCCTTGCTGTTACAGACAAAGTGCATTTCAGTAAGCACAGACGGAACCTGTGCAGTTCTACAGCCTTGTCAAAGCTTACCTGCTTCTTTGTTTTTTTGTTGAGGACAGACACATTGTATTGCAGGCCAGGATACACTTGAAGCAGCGATACAGATTCTCCCTCAGGACTTCTCTTCCACTTCTCAGGAGCAGTCAGAATGATTGAAATAGAATTCTCAGTAGAAGATAGACTTACCATGGGTGGACCAATTTTAGCTGGAAAAATGAACATGTACAAAAAGCAGTCAAACGCAGCAGAGGCACACTGATTTGACCATGCAGCTTCTTACAGTGGATGATACTATATTTTTGTACTGTTTTGAGGAGTCTAAGTAGGACAGTCAGAAGGTGAGTACTAACTTGGAATTTTGCCTAGGAATTCCCATGACTTCACAGGATAAACAACCTTGAAACTCAATTTGCTAAAACAAGACAAATTACCAGTATGTTCTCAGATTATCTGGCACAGATAAGACATATTGTGCTCTAGAATATTATTACTGCTTGGTTTAATAGAGCCTTTTCAAAATCAGAGTTTTTTTATACTGTGGGTGTGCCACAGCTTTTTATTTGCCTTGAGTAGAGCTTTACCATAGCATAAGAGAGTATTCAGTATATATAAAACCATATATATAATACAAATATATCCAAATTCTAATCTAATTATTTAAATTACTTCTGCCAAAAGCATAAATGTGAAAAAACTTTAAAAAATCATGTTAAAATTAAAATATCATACGCTATGAAGGCACATGCAATCTAAATGCATGGTATTAATCAAGGCCATTGAACATCTGGCTGTGCAATTAGCTTTCCTTACTGTCTGTAAGAGGGTTGAATCGTGCAGTCTCCACCCAGTCAGAGCACATCCCATTTAGGAAGGCTTTAACGCTCGCGTAATATTGTTCTTCATAGTCAGAAGTCTCACTGGAGAGGTCACACCATGTTCTGTTGATATTCCTGCATTCTGGCCTTCTAATCCATTTGCCAATGCCATACCTATATTGAAAAAGAAAGAGAAAGGAGCTGTATAAAAGCTATTGCCATGATATTGGTCACCTGGTATTATAGCACAGAAACTGATATTAGGGCTGATAAAACAGTTTGCTTGTTTTGCAGAAATCTGCAATTTCAAGGAATTCCTGACTTCACCTCAGATAGAACACAGGATATCCACAAGTTTTTAATCCAAAATAAATCAGAGTAGGCCTTATCCAGCAGAGGCCATACGGAACTAACTGGGATGTTACCGATACCAGTCCAGCTCTAGTTTTGCTTGCACAGGATAAAGATCTCTCAACCTCAGTCTGCACAGCTTTAGTTTAAACTCTGAACACAGGAGAACAGAGTCAGGATAACTATTTATATAAAGACAAGGAATTCTGTCAGAATAGTCAGTGGCTGATCCTGGTGGACAGAGACAGATGATGCTCAGGGTCTTCACGATGGGAAAGGAGACTACTCATCGCTGACTGTCATTTCCTTTTCCAGTTTAAAAGAAAGACTCAATCCAGAATTCAATGAACTTCAAAACCCTTCTAGTTAAAAAAGGGGCATATACCTGCTACTAACAATGCCTCAGTACTGACCAACTCTTATACACTAGTAGGAAAAATCAAGATTTCCTTGGAAAATTCCTGCGCGGATTTGCTCAGAAGTTCCTGCTCCTCAAATTCACATTAAGAATTCTCCTTTGGCTGCTAATTAGTAAGGGCACATGGCAGCTTCTGCATGACTGCAGGAGAGTATCACCCAGCAGCTTTTTCCACCCAGCTCAAGGTCTTGCTCTCCTTGGTGGGTAGAGGCACATAGGAATATTTTTGCATTCAGTGTGAAAGTTGGCCATAGTATGACTACAGACTCTTCTGTAGACCAGCTGAGCCTGCAGAGTCAGCGGCATAGCCAGTGCTCTCTGAGTATTTTACCTTCTACACAATTATAATTCATTCCATAATTACTGAGCACTCTCCCCTTTTCTAGGAGGTGGACTGTGTCGCCCTTCTGTTAGCGCAGAGGCAAGATCTGAGCAAAACAGGTTGTGGTCTCTGACTTAGAAGCAACTCCTTGCTTTTTTTAGTAGCCAGTTCAAGTTACAGGAAACTTCTGGAGATCTACATTTGTTGTAGTGTCATGAAATCATTACTAGAATGAGGGAGTGTAAATATTAGAGGTGAGGATTGGGAGCATCACATTGTCCATAAAAACAGTGCTACACCTATTTATAAGCTTAACTTGCAGCACTGTCCTTCAGAATGATCCAGTGCTCTCAGTGAGAATAAAGGAAACAGATTCTGGTCCTCACTCAAGCTCCTTCATATCCTACAAAGGTGCAGAACTCAAAAATATAAGGGCCTGATTCCAATCACATTATTTGGTTTTCTACAATACGTGATAACTTCAGTGGATCTTCTCCTAGACTAGAGAGGCTTGTGGGATCAGAATAAATCTGTGAGGGTTGGGTGGGTTAGAAAAGACCAACAAAACACTGGGTGCTGTTAATATTCTGTTAACTGCTACATCTCTAGATCCATTTAAATGTGTACAGAAGGCCACCATG